CCTGATAGGTTAAAAAAAAGTCCTAGTATACCTCCATTCTAAGAATAATACTCATCTTTGACTGTTCATTCCCATTCAATTACTGCCCAGTTATCCATTTCTTAGAAAGAGTTAACCAGTCACTTCAATTTCCTTCTTAGCCCTCTTCAGTCTATCTGCTGCATCTGTCATTCAGCTAAAGCTTTTTTATCAAGGTGATCTGAAACCTCTATATTGCTCAATTTAATAGACATTTTTTTTCTCTTCTCATCTTGAAGCATCTCTTCTCATCTTGATGCAGTTGACCGTTCTGTCTGCTGGTTCTCCTTTTTTTCTTTGATGGTCTCTTCTCTACCCATTCTCTAAATTGGAGCTTCTGTGACTTAGCCTTGGGTCCTCTTTTGTTTCTCTGAACTCTCTCCCTGCATGATCCCATTCTTCATCATGGCATTCAGTACTATCTGTGTTTAGATGACTTTCAAATTTTATAGCTTCAACCCAAATTTTTCCTCTGATTTCCTAACTACTATGTTCAACTATGTACTTGAGATTTCTATTCACAGGTTTCTCAGATTTAACATATCCCAAGTGGAACTCTTGAATCTCCCCCTGCCCTCCACCCCCAGACTTGTTAGTCATTAACTGGCAAATACACTGCCGTTTTACTTCTTAGCTCAAGACACATCTGCAAGCCTGTCATTTATACCTGCTAGCTGAAACTTGTAATTGTCCACCCTACCCATCCTCATCCATCTCCACTCTCCTTACATGAATTAAGCCACCGTCCAGGGTGGACTACTGCACTAGCCTCCTGGTGATTTTCTCTCCTACTTCTGCCTTCTTTCAAATTGTTGTCTATGTGACACATCAAAATTTTTAAACTGTAGCCTGGATTGTCATTCTCTTGGCTAAAACCATTCAATGGGTTTTCTGTCGCCTTTACAAAAACAACTCTAATTCTTTGCCATGACCGATGAGGCTCTCTGATCTGGTTGCTCGCTTTATCTAGCAACTTTATATAATGCACTTTCCCCTTATCTCCTGTGCATTAGCTGTACTGGTGTCCTTTTAATTCCTTGAACATGCCTAGCTCTTTCCAGCCTGAGAATCTTTGTGCAGCTCTTTTCTGTGCCTGAAACACCCAGTTCCCTGCTCCATCTCATACTTAGGTCAGTATTGTCTTCATCTTGGGGAAGCTGTTTCTGACCACATTATCTCAGTAGCATCTTTATCTTCCATTTCCTTATTTATTTCTTCTTTGGTTTGGTGACACTGTTACCATATGTATGCTTTGTGGCTCACCTACTTATTATTCTTCTCCAGCTAGACAGGGAACTCCACAGCAGGATGGATGTTGTATATCCAGAGGCTATAACGGTGCCCAGTGTAGTAGTTGCTCAGTTTGTAGGATGGACAACTGAACTTAACATGAGGCTGATACAGAAAATCCCATTTTTCACTGGAAGATTGGAATCAAACTGTCCTTCCACATACTTCATGCCCTTTATACACTGAACCTGTAAACAACTTTAAGATAAAGCAAAATGCTACTGGACGAGCCTTGAATGGATGACAGGTATTTGAAAGGCAGCATGAAGGTTAAAGTCTGGTTTGGATAGTCACTGCTTTTCTCCCTTGTTTTCCATATTCACCTAGGCATGTGAAGCCCCGCTAAGAGTGGTTTGGGCTCTAATCTCCTGGGATTATTTCTGGAAATACTCAAATTTGGTTTCTCTTGCTTAGTGGGAAGTACAGTCTGTTTGATAAAACAACTATCTGAATTCCTCACATACCTGAGTTTCTTCAACAGAGTTGAAAACTCCCAGGGGAGGGATTTCGTCTTACGCAGTACACTGTGGCAGAATGGAAAGGACGTTGAACCAGAACCAGGCTTGGAATTTTTAATTCTGATTACTTTGAAAACAAAACAAATCAAAAAACCAAAAAACAACTCTGGCCTTCAGTTTTACCATTTCACAAGAATTGAATGAAATGGTTTCTACTGCTCCTCCCAGCATTAATCATATGAAATCTCTGATTCCTATTAAAAACTTATGGATTCTGATCCTGGAGGTAAATGCAAAAACTGCAGCCTTTAAGGAAGCAGACACTTTCCCCACAAAGTCATTTTTGTGAAGAAATAGTGAACATTGTCATAGACTACCTCAGCAAGTAGAGAGGGAATGAGAGATTGCTTGAAGATTCAAAAGCGTTCGAGTTAACCACTGTTTGACCACCCTTGTCTGACTTTTAGTTTGTTGAAAGTTGTCCAAGGAAAAAAAATATTTCAGAGTTTAATGGTTTGGAGCTTTTAATGACTTGTATTTCACCCTAGTAGGAATTAAAAAGGTGAATCAACTGTGAGTACCCCCTTCTAAGCTGTGGTAGGCATCCCCAAAAAGAATCTTGTTCACTTTGATACAAGCACGAGCAGCTCACTTGTTACCCAAAGGACTACCCCTTACTGAAAAGATGCAACAGACAAGAGAAGAAGGCAGCCCTCCTTTCTCCACTCACAATTATTACAAAGCTGAGTCAGTCTGGAAGATTCTGAGCAAATGCATGATTTTAATACGAATTTTAGTTTCCCTTCAAGTGGTTACTTAACAACTTGCATCTATTTTATTAATTGTTCCTACTAAGGACTGGCCTTTATAACGAATGCTTGTCTCACTTATTTCGAAAACATCCTTTGGATTGGGTGATAGTTTCTCATTGTTATTCCAGGTAAAGAAACGGGGGTGCTTAAAGGTTAAATAACTTGCTAAATTAAGTCCCAGTTAGCAAGAGATTGAGTTGGGATTTGAACCAAGTAAATGAGTAATGAATCTTTGAGCCTCAGATGTAGCTAAAAGCATTTTCAGCATTTTTAATGTTAGTGAAAAGATAATGGGGAAATTAATGACACTCAATTCACAGACCAGGTCATGTTCGTTCTGTCCTTTTCCTAAAGATCCTAGGTGTTTTCTTTTCATCCAGTCCTGTCAATACGCTATCGTTCTAGGATGCTTCATTTTAAACATTTTGGATGAAATCAAACCCTGAGTTAAAATAATGAACAGTCATATTTTGTATGATCACATAATAGCACTTCACAAAAGCATGATGTTATTTGTAATTTAGAATCATCCTGACCTGTTGCTTTAAATATTTTAAATAATGCAAGTTTTCCTTCTCCCCCAATGAGGCCCACTTTTTCCCCCAGTCACTTTAATTATGTGAGCTAGAATCCTGTTTCTCACACATCTTCAGTTCCCAACCTTGTTAAAATTAATCATATAATCCCCCTTTAAAACATAGTATTAAATCACCATAGTAACACAGTATCCAAGCTTTATAGATAAAACATAACAACCATAAGAAGGTAGCGTTTGGTGTACCCTTGACAGCTCTATAACTTTTATAGAAATGTGTTCCTTCTCCTAGTGGAGGGATAGCATTACTTACACCTGTTTTATTACTGTGTTGCTTTTAAATTGCCACCTTGTTTTCGTTCACCTTCCTAGTTAAAAAAGGAGAATGGAACACTTCCTTTTCTTTCTGAATTATTTTCTTGTATTGTCTAAGCACTTTCAAGGGGTGGGATTATTTTCTTAAATATGACCAGGAAAGGTCCCTTAACCTTTTGTACTGGAATACCTTGAAAGTCCCTTTAATTTTAATTTTCTCCTGTTGTTTGTGTAAGGGAGTTTTAGAAAAGGCGGCTGTCCATATTTGAAAACTTAATTCATGTGATATTCCAAGACTCAGTAAGTCTACCTTTGGAAAAGGCCTGGTGAGCCATGATTTTTCATTTCTACTGACAATTTACAAAGTAAATTATAGGTGAGAGCATCGATTTGACTATTTTATCAATTTGAGTATATTTTGTAAGATATGATATATGTAAAATATAATCTAAGTTAATGAGTTTGAAAAATTCAGTGTCAAATCTAAGATACTATATTAGCACAGAGTTATGTATTAGGATTTGAAACATTGAAGTTTTTAGAAAGAAATTTAAACTAACAGGTAAGCTGATTTAAAAGAGGGCTTTAAAACATTTTGTAACTTTAAAGAAGAGTTTCTAGATTAACCTGATTACTAATATGCTTTTTAATTTTTTTAACTATATTTTCTATTTTCAGTTGCTTTTATATGTTTGCTGATTTTTGTGTTGATGCAGGAATTTTTAGAATGTTTTTTCTTTAATGTAGTTCTTTAAAATCTTGTTTCCAGTTCTTAGAAAGCACCTTGCATTGTTAAGACATTTGGTATTTCTGCCTGCAGAATATAAATGATATTCCTCATATTTTCAGAAATTATGAAAGATGCAGGAATGTAGAAAATTAATAGCTAGCCTTGCCTCTTTTGAATTCTAGCTCCTCCCTTTACTTAGTAGCTCTGTGAACTTGATTCAGTTACCTATTTAGTCCTTTTGTTCCTTTCTGTAAAATGGGAACATCATCTAAATGTCAGGGCTGTGTGATTAAATGAGATGCTATATAGCAAGTATCTAACTTTGTGGTTGGCACATAGTAGACACTTAAGTTTGGTTGTAATCACAATTTTCTGAATGAGAGGAATTATCAGGTGAGCAACATTAATAGTGCTCTGGTAGAGAAGGCTTTGGTGTCCGGTAGGCCTAGATTTAAAATACAGCTTTTTGCAGTTTGCCAGCTGGCAACTTAGGCAATGCTCCTGGAAGCTATTTCTTCATCTATAAAATGAGGTTAATAGAATGCACCTTGCAGGATTTGATGGGATGATTAACAGGGCTACCTCCTTGAACTCCGTAAGTGGAAGATTTGGTAGCTACTCTGGTGGTGAGGTGGTCACAAGAATGGGCTGCTTGCTGGCTTTTTTTTTTTTTTTTATTAGCTCACAGTCTGTTCCCTTGAAGTGTGTAAATTTTAAGTTCATTTATGAAGAGTTCCACTGAGAAAGGAAATGTTACAGGTTCAACGACTCATAGCGATGAGATACTTTATCAAGAAACTTACTGCACATTCATTTTCCCCTTTGTTCTGTCTTTGCCTCAGCCTCACAGTTAGCCAAGTTGGCCAGAACTTCACATTCGTGCTTACTGACATTGACAGCAAACAGAGATTTGGGTTCTGCCGCTTATCTTCAGGAGCGAAGAGCTGCTTCTGTATCTTAAGGTAAGGGAGAATGGTTTTGGCTCTTGGCTAGTTCTGTGAAACAATGTCAGTTTTGCGTTGTTCTTCTGTAATTAAATTTTCCAGCTGTTCTTTTAATTTTCCTATCTGTTTCCTACAAGTCACTGCACTTGGGGAGAAGGACTTCACAATGTTGTTCTTGTACTTTAAATTCTGCAGATAGTTGTATTTATTTATTTGTATCAACATCACTTGGGTGGGAAAGGGATCATTGCTTCTGGGGAGTATGTGGAAGCTGGAGTCAGCATGGCCTCCGTCCCCCTGCTGTTATCTGGGGCTGTCAGAAACTAGCCTGTTAGGCTTTCCGAGGCATTTTGTGTATGTAAGATTATTAATAAAGTATGTGTCTGTAGCTCAGGACGTCTCGCAGACACTGATTATGTCCTCCTCAAAGTAACACCCTTGCCCCCTTTGGGTCAATGAGTGAGTAACTGTTTTCCAACTTGGCTACCTCTGTAGAGGTTTGAAAAAAGTGCAGAATCCTGTATGTAGGCTTCTTTAGGTCTTCTAAAACCCCTTCACACACCAGAGCCACACTTGCTTAATGCTGTATTTCCTCCTGCCAGAGAGGTGAGGTGTGTTCTGGGGTGGGAGGATGTGTGGAAATCCGATTTTGGATCTGTGGTCTCCTGCTGGGCGCCTCCTGAGGGGGAAGTAAAGGCATCCCACACATTCTCCTCTCCATCTGCCTCCGTTAAGTAGGTGTCAGAGGGGCCTGCCTCCTGTCTCTCTCTGCTCATGTGGAGCAGCCCAAGGCAGGACAGTGGGGAGGCGCCCCTGACAAAACCCGGGTCTCTAGTATTGGGCTTGGCTCTGACCCTCTATGAATACCAGAAAGAGAAGTTCTCTGGTGTATTAGTCTCTGCACTTTTTTCTTCTCCTCACCAAGAAAAGATTCCCCTCATCCCAGAGGGGGAAGTGGAAATGACTTTTGAAGGGCCTTTCATGTTTGGACTGCTACTTTCATGTTGCTCTACACAAATACTATAATTTTTAATCAGCAAAATCACTCCAACTCTGTTCTTCACCAAGCATAGCATCTGTAGTTTGGGCACTAGAGGGCAACTGCTGGGAAGACCTTAGGAAGGCGGTATAGCCTGGATGCTTTATGAGATTAAGTGTGTGCAGCTGTTCTCAAGCACGCCTCAGTAACGCAGGCCCAAAGATTACCTGCTCAGACTATTAGACCCTGATGCAAGTGAATATTTACTTTTCAGTTTAACAAAGTTGGTCTTTTTTTTTTTTTAAGAAAATTTTCTCTTTCATTTTTCCCAATGCTGTATTTCATCTTGGCCAGGGCACTGCATATTTATATAGTCATTTAGAGTTGATGGGGGTTGAAACCAAGTTTCTGAAGTTTTATAGGAAGTCTTTTTTCCTCCAGAATATTTTGGGTTATGTTATGTCTTCCTTTCAAAGGTGGGATGTTGGGTGGGGGTGCTCTGAACTGGCACTCTCACAACCACTCAGCATGTTTTTGAGAGTGGAGAACTATTTATTTAGAAGTTTAAGTGTAGGAAAATTGCTGTCCTCTGATTCCAGCAATAGACTTGCATGTCTGTGTAGGGTCATGGACTTTGTGTCTGTGAGACACTGGTTGAATGTCTTCATAATGTCATCATTTAGAATAAAAAATAGTGGCAATTGGTGTATTTTTCTATTATACGAGCTTGGAACTAAGAGAAAACAATTTGTGGATTAATTCATACATGTGTTTGTCAGCCCTTAATTGAGTGCTTACCAGTAGCTAGTCCCTGGCATTGAAGAGTTCCTAAGACTAGCTGGGAAGATGGGTGATCATACTACGGTATGCTGTGTATAACTTAGAATGATCCCATTGCTTAGTGTCTTCTTACTGTTGATATTCTATGCTAGAGGATAGTGACTGGTTAAAAATAGAGTCCTATAGGAGTTCTGTGACATATATTTGATAGGTATGGGTATTTAACATAAGGGGGGAAAGCTCTCTTTATCTTATCCAGCTTGTGCATATATATATACATATATATATATATATATAAATAAAAGGCACATGCAGTGGCGCTTCCCCTGTGCTTGGTTTAGGAACAGTGCTGGGTTAAGATTAGTGTATAATGGAGAGTGGAGAGATCTGCCAAGAGAACACTGCGTGATTTGGGTCTGGGTTACATTATTAGCATTGCCCTCCTTTGCTCCGTGGTCTCCTTACTTTTTTCAGTTGCGTTCCCTTTGGTTAACCTGTGCCATGAGGTCCAGTCTCAGGCCGCCCAGTGCTCTAGATCAAGTCTGCTCATAAGCCACCTCTGCTTCTGCTTTCCATTTCTTCTCATGAGGGTGGGAGCTCCCAGAGATGGAGTCTGTGCAGACATAGCCTCTGCTGTTCCAGGATTAGCTTCTTAGGATCAGTCCCACTCTGACTGCTCTCCCAAGCTCATGTACTTCTTGGCCCATGTAAGCCACTGGGCCTTTCTGCTTTCACACATGTACCCGTCCTCCCAGATACCCGTCCTCCCAGACCAGAACAGGCATTTCTTCAGAGCAGCCTTCTCTAGGCAGAGGTAACCATCCCTTTTGGGTGCACCAAGCATGCTTTGCATACTTCAGTTATACACTTATAGGCCTTGATCATCCTTTGTATTTCTCCTATGAGCAGGTAACGCTTTAAGACACAATCTTTACTTCTAAAGAAACTCCTGTGTCTCCAGCACTTAGCGTAGTACACAACCCAGATACTGTGTGCATGACTTTCAGAGACAGGGAGATGGATTCCATTGGAATGGGAGAACAGGGTAGTAGCGGCTCTGAGTAAGAGGATGGGCCTGTGGAACACCACTGCAAAGAGAAAATATGAAATACAGTTACTCAAAGAAGCATGCTTCATTTAGCAAACTTACTTTTATTAGTTTTAAGAGGTGTGTCTTTGAATCTCACAGTGGAGATCCAATGTTAAGAGACAGGCATTGTGTCATAAAGGACTAGACCATCAGTACCACAAAATTTAAAGTTAATATCACAATGAAAGGTTCTTAGACATCCTTTATACAACGTAACTCATTAAGTTCGTTGCCAGGGGCATTATCTGTTCCTGCCCACTCAAGTGTAAGCTCCATGAGAGCTGGGAAACTTAATCTCTTTTGTTCACAAACAAACCCTAAGTGTATTGAAGAATGTCTGCACACAGTAGGTACATAGTAATACTTGTTGTATGAAGGAATGAATACTTGAGAGATAAGCCTTGTATTTATTATTAAACATTTTTTTAAAAGTTAGTTTGACAGTTGGTTATCACCTCACACCAATCAGAATGACTACTATCCAAAAGAAAAAAAATAACAAGTGTTGATGAGGATATGGAGAAAAGGGAACCCTCCTGCACTGTTGGTGGGAATGTAAATTGGTGCAGCTACTGTGGAAAGCAGTGTGGAGGTTCCTCAGAAAACTAAGAAAAGAAATTCCACATGACCCAGCAATTCCATTTCTGGGAATTTACCTGAAGAAAACAAAGTTACTGATTAGAAAAGATACTTGCACCCCTATGTTTATTGTCACATCATTACTGTAGTGAAGATATGGAAGCAATGAAAGTATCCATCAGTAGATGAATGGATAAAGATGCTGTGGTATATATATACGATGGAATATTATAATACTAGATTAAAAGCACTAGCTAGGAGAACAATAGTCCTGGGGAAGTTAGTTCTTCATTATAAACTCAGGAATGAGAGAGTACTTTAGTAATTTCAGATAGTATCATCTGAGTCTGATGTGTATCAGCATTTACCTCTGAAATCTTATATATATCATAAAACAAAGTGACCTAGAGCCATAATTTTGTCATGGCTTCCAATTTGCCCAAAAGACATACCCTCATCAAAACTAAAACTAAAATGAGATATGTTATTTATAGCCAACTTCTGGTTTTGGGTGAACACACAGGTGGATAACAGTTCCAAGCCATAACTGTGTTGTTTGGTGGGGTAGATTATGGGAGATCTGTTATACAATAATTAAATTTCTTTACTCTTTGTAAAGGAACTTTAAAAATATTTGTGTTCTACAATTTTCTCCTTTATGTATAAGAATTTTATTTAAGCTTTGAGGAAGCTTGATTAACTTTCTTTATATCCAAATAAAACTCTTCAAGAATCTATTATGTATTCTGGGAAGGAATAACTTGTTTCACTAAGATGGTATCTAAACTTTTCTTAGCTTAGCACTTTACATTTTTATCGAATTGCTAAGTATCTTAGTACCCAGTATTTACCTGTAATGAGCTAAGCATAATACTTGGTCTTCTTTTTATCTCAAGGTCCCTTAAAATAGACATAAAACTCTAGCCCCAGCTCCCTGTATGAGACCCTTTTAGATGTCACATTCATCCATGATTTGGATGAGCTGAACTGTCTCAACTTGGTATTACAAACTGAAAACAATATGTACTTTTTGTCCTTCACCATCTAATATGTTTCCGGGCACTCTGTTTCCAGACCACCTCTGATTTTGATACCCACCACCCATTTCACGTCTGCTACCCTTACTGTCTTAGGAGCCTCTCAGTCTTTGGGAAAGGACTATGTAAACAAGCAATTAAAATATGCTGTGATAAGTGCCACTCAAAAAATATGTATGTGCTAGGTTCTTTGGGGTCACAGATTAGGCAGAGCCCATCTCTGGCTTGAAGAATCAGGGAAAGTGTTGCTGATGGTTTCCAGTTAAACTGGAGGAGAATGGGAGAAAAGCTGCCTGGGCAGGGAGAACTGGTGTGCAAAGGCCCAGTTAAAGGTAAGAACAAGATGCAAGAATGTTGAGAATTCTGATGAGAGGGCAGTAGCAGGAGATGATGCCAGAAAAGTCTTGAGGCCGGATTATGAAAACCCTTATGGGACATGTGCAAGATTTTGGATTTATCCCATAGTAAATGGAGTGCCATCAGATGGTTTGGGACAGGCATTACAAATACTGATGTTTATGGACCAAGGGAAAGGTGGCTTTTTATACATGAA